TAGACAGTCCATAGAAGCGGATGCACACGCAGGGGCTGCATGGACATAATCACATCAAAGTTTAACATGCAGGCAGGAGAGGGTACACACTGTGCATTCATGTACATGCACCCACTCCTGACCATGTGTCAGATTTTGACATGCAATTGTGTCTGTGCAGCCGCTGCACGTGCATATACATCTATGGGCTGCATGCATGCAGCTTTGCGGTGGATGCACATGCATCTTTTAATGGCTCTTCACGGAGGAGAGGACTAATTGTTCATCTGAATAAGCCCTAAGTCTTCTGCTCACCTTATTAAATACTAATAAATATACTGTACAGTATATGTGCTTATTATACTGTGAGTCATTTCCTTTTATTTTATTAAATCTAGAACACTGAGATTGGTAAAACTGATTCTATTGAAATCATCAGTAAATAGATTTTTTTTACCCTTTGTATCAGAGGTATTAGTATTCAGTAATATATTAACATTTTCACAAGGTGGCTGACAGCTGATGTCTTGTCTGTCACTCTTGCAGTTACTCCCATGTGGGGAGAAGTGACAGGAATGGAACAATGGCAGTACAGAGATGATCAGACAATGATGGAAGAGGAGCACTGTACAAATACACACATTTATACCAAGAATCAGAGTCTGGCTAGATTTATCCCAAATTGCTAAATTAAAATTAATTTCCACTTTTGCAGTTAAATTAGAGTAACCGTTACCTTATATTTTTTATATGGTCCCTTAACATAGCATACCTTTAAAAAAAAAATTGAATTTGCTGCTTACCTTTGCAAGTACTTACAGGCATACCTTGGTTTACGGACGCCTCAGTTAACATAATTTTCAGTTTATGAATGAAAATCCATTGAAAATAATGCCTTGGTTTAAGAATTTGTTTTCACAATATGAATGGATTAATTGGTTTTCAATGCATTTCTATGGGAAACCGTGTTTCGGTTTATGAATTTTTCACAATTCTTAAAGTCCCGCAGAAATAATTTAAATTTGTAAACCGAGGTACGCCTTTACTTAAAAATCTGACCAGCAACAAGTGTCTATCCAGCCTGCATGTAAGCAGGGGTTAGTTCCCCTTTTAGGGGGATGTGGTAGGTGGGACTAGCTTAGTCCCATATCATCTAGAGCCGGTAGTACCCGATGCAGTGGGTAATGGGAAAAGGCTACCTCTAGTATACTGTCATGTAAGCTTGTAGCCTTAGGAAGTGAACCTTTCAGGTTAGGCCCAGTACAGGCTCCTTTGGGGAACCCATTCATGGGACCTATGGTGAGGACAATAGAAGAGTTGGATAGCCATCCTATGTAAAAGTTCACATTTAGACCTTTAAAAAATTTGCATTTAGTTTTTTTTCTTAAAACAGTAGCCTGGAAAATATTACACCCTGATCAGCAGATCATGGATGCAATGTCAGGCTCCTGCACACACTGCCTACAGCTCTATTGCTCGTAACTCTTTACAGACTTTCTGTTACAGAGCTGTAGGCAGTGTGAATGAACTACCAGTGTGCTGATCAGGGCACCCGCAGTTAATTCAAATCACAAATTTGTCTTCCATGGTGGAAGACGGTACTTGTAGTTTATTCATTCACAGGAATCTGTAAAGGAATGAGTCGGCTGTGTGGGAGGAGCCCTGCAAAGCCAAGCTGTTTTAGTGACAGTGGGTGCAGGGAGAAAAACCAACGCCTGCTTTCACAGGGAGTGGGGGATCGGGGGCGAGAAGAGGCCAGATCTGGAACATGTTATATATTCCACCCCCACCCAAAGGTGAACTTATTCTCTAATGTTGGATGTGCACTGTGCGGAGTAATTGATGTCAGGACTAATGAGGCAGAGGTGAAGGATGTGTTGGCCAAAAACTGTTTGTTTCTGCTACATTAAAAAGGCTGAACTTGTGAACATTCCTTATTTCTGGAGATGGGCCTTGGCCTGGAAGAATGTGACTGATAAAAGATGGCAGAGTTCCTGCACGCTATAGGCAGGGTGCTTCCAACTAGGCAGCCGCCTAGGGCACACTGCCACCTAGGCGCACCTGGGTGCCGCACAGGTCTGCACTCTCTCTGTGTGGGATGCTGTCATGTCATGAATGATCCTTCAGCTGAAGGGAGGGGGGAGGGGAGGAAGAAAGGACAGAAGAAGATGCCTGGTGTCTGGGACCAGCTGAGCTTCCACTCCTTCCAGTGTTACCCTCAGACTCAGTCCCTTACTGCAAGCCGGCTGGTGGCTGCTGATCACTGTGGAGTTCCAGCCCTTCTCTTCCCATCCATCAGAGGAGGCGGAGCTGCCCCTGCGGAGGAAGGTAATGTCTGACTAATGTTTCAGGTCTGTGAGTGTGACCTGGCTGGCCATCCATCCCATGCAATGTGACCAGTGAGTGATGACATCATCACGATCCCACAATCTGCTCTTCTACTAACTGCTGGGCCTGCTGACCTCTGTCAGTGTTGGTGGTGGTGTGTTTGTGTCGGATCTGACACTGTGTGGGATCGCTCAGTTCAGGTGTTCTCACTGTGTGTGTGGGCTGGGCTGCCTGCTGTCACAGCGTTTTATTTCCCCCATTGCCTGGGGAATTCCATCCTGGGATCTGTCAGAGTGTGGATCCATCATCCTCCACTCACTGCAACTGTCACCCTGCCACTGCCAGCCACAGATACAGTCCGTCCAGGACACTGATTTTTCTTTAATATTTGTGCTGGTGGCATCTTCTGACACTTATTTTAGCAAATTAAAAGGAATTTATCAATTGTTCTGTTTTATTTTAGTATTTTCTGTTTTTAAAAAAAACTTTATTTTGTATTTATTTTTTTTTCTTGGGGGGGGGGGGATGCAGAAAGCTGATCTTGCCTAGGGCGCAAAATAGTCTAGCACCGGCCCTGCTAACATGCAGACAGGGTCAGTGGCATATCTTCAATGTGTACAAATTGAGGATTCAGGTAAGTAGACGCTGCCTATGATCTCTGCTTTGACCTGACATAATGCGGACTCTGATGTAAGGGGCAACTCTGATGGGGACCCTGATATATGGGGGGACTCTGATGGGGACCCTGATATATGGGGGGACCCTGATGTAAGGGAGAATTCTGGTGGGGCCCCTGATTTAAGGGGGATCATTTTATTTATAAAGCTGTTTTTTTCAGCCCACAAATACAAAAAACATGGCTCAGCTGCATGTTTTTACCATCCCTCAACCACAAGTGTTTCTCCAATGTAAACCCAACACATGTGCACTTTCTTCCCTGTTTCAGTAGTTCTGAGCTCAGTGATGATTCTACAGAGGAGATAATGAACTGCACATGTGTGGGGATTTGAGGGCTTGCTCCTGTGATGGTGGGGGCAAGCAGTAACAGCTGAGAGTTTCTTAGCAACAGGGCAGGACAGTGGGATGCCTCCTTCAGGAGTTTTTTTTGGCCAGGCTTTGGGAGGTATTTAAATGGCTTACACCTATAGCAATGGTATTATCCAACTAGTCAGAACTGCACAGTTTGTTTTTTATCTACAGGGGCCCCTTACGTGCAAAGGCAGTTTTTGGAAAAGGTGAACTGACCCTTTAAATATGTATTAGTGTATGCTGCTAGTGTACTGTTTTTAGTATATCTTGGAAGGATCATGATTATTATATTATACAGGATTATGGCCTTCTCTTGCCTTGTATTGCCATGGCAGAGGAGGAGTTGGGTGTTACTGACTCACCTGTCATTCAGCTCCTCACGACACCATTGTAAATAGCTGCACCTTTATCACATAACCTCTGTATTGAGGAAATACACAAAATTGCTGAAAATTAAAGCTGAATTCCAAGCAATCATACATAAATGCAGCTGTGTAATTATTAAACCATCATGAAATGATGATTATTTTTAATGTAAGCAGTGTAAGTACCGGAATTTGGCTTGATACCAGCCCCTAGCAGATTCCTGTATAGCAGAACTCACACAGGAAAGGGGGGAAACAGCAAAAGAAGCTGCAGTGCAAGGAGTATGCTGACAGAAGGAGAGAACAAGGTGACAGGAAGATGATCCATAGAGTGTGCTGCTTTTCTGTTCACTGTCCAATCACAGGATGGGGGTGGGAGGAGACCTGTAAAAAAGTGAAACTACAGCAAAGAATGATCAGATCATGCAGGACTGTAAACATCAGAACTGAAAGGATAGAATTATAAATGCTTTGGCTGATAGAAAACAATGGCAACACCTCCAATCTTCTCTATAGTATGCGCTTGTGCTCTTTAACCACTTCAGCTCTGGAACATTTCACCCCCTTTACAACCTGGCCATTTTGTGCTGTTCAGCACTACACTACTTTAATTGGTAATTGTGCAGTCATGCAATGCTATACCCAAACAAAATTTATATCATTTTTTTCACACAAATAGGGCTTTCTTCAGGCGGCATTTGATCACCACAGGATTTTTATTTTTTGTATAAATGAAAAAAATCTAATTTCTTCATAAATTTAGGTCAAATGTAATCTGCTACATGTCTTTGATAAAAAAAAATACCAATAAGTGTATATTGGTCGGTTTGCGTGAAACTTATAGCGCCTACAAACTATGGTATATATAATGGAATGTTTGTTTTTATACTACTAATGCTGGTGATCAGTGACTTATATTGGGACTGTGGGAGTGCGGTGGACAATCTGACACTAACTGCTACTGACATCACCAGTGACACTAAAACAGTGATAATACTAGTCACTGTACTAATTATGCTGGCTGTAAAGGGGTTAACATCTAGGGAAAAAAAGGGGTTAAATGTGAGCTTAACTATTTGTAATGTGTGTAAACTGTGCTGCTTTTACTGCTAGATCTCTAAGTTTCTTATCACTGCTTTGCAGATCTTACTGCTTACAGATCGTTCCCTCTGTACAGAGCTCTGTGCTATTTACCAACACAGAGCTCTGGGCTGTGATTGTACACAGCTGATCGGTAGGTCCTTGCCATGAATCACTGGTCGGGACTTGCTGACAGGCTTCTGATGTGTACAATCACAGCCAGGGGCGGACTGACAACTCATGGGGACCCCGGGCAATAGGGGATCATGGGGCCCCTGTGTCCTTGCCCAAACTCAAAAAAGCCTATGAAAAAGGTACCAGGGGCATCTCATGGGGCCCCCTACTGACCCCGGGCCCTCAGGCAGTGCCCGAGTTTCCAAATGGTCAGTCCACCCCTGATCAGAGCAGATGCCAAAGGGGGGGTGCTAAAGGGGTGTGTGCACCCGATGTAGGCAGCGATGTACAACCTTTGCCTACAATGGCCACCCATCCACAGTACATTGCAGGCAGGCGTAAAGTGGTTAACATAATGCATTGCAGCTTTCTGTTCCAAGTGCTTTATATTAAGGGCTCATTCACACTAGGTGTGATAACTGGTGTTTTTCTGCACCTGATTAATGCAAGTCACCACAAGGGCACATAGAAAAAAAAAGCAGACAGCTTGGCTTGGGAGCATGCCCGCATGAGTGCCCCCTTAGCACATGGCTTGCTGAATGGGCACTTGGAGCAGAGGAGTAGCACAGAGTGCCAGCAGGGGACCCCAGAAAAGGAGGTAAGGACCAGTAAGTATGGCCTCCTTTTTTTTTTTTTTTTTAAATAAAACTGAAGACTAGTATTACTTTAAGTACCTATATCTGGGAATAAACTGCATTATGGCCAACAAATGCAGCTAACGATCACCGGAAATCAATATATTAAAGTGGAACTTTAAATAAAAGTGGGCGGGCAGGCAAGTTTTTTTAATGCATGCTTTGTCTCTTCTGCATTAAAGCTACCTACTGCCTGTCAACCCCTATACAGCGAGCCACGCAGGCGCAGCTCAATGCCGAATTTGATGGAACTCCCACACATGTGGGCAGTGGCTGGTGTCCGGGACCCAGAAGCCTGCCCCTTGAAGATGACAACGGCCAGGTGGGGAACTCCGGGACAGGCCATCGTGGGATCGAAGGTAAGTATAGTTCTGCTTTAAGTAGAATATGGCCAAACGTTTTTTTTTTTCCTTTCCGGGGGACCACCAAGGAGGGGTGGAGCCTGAACATGGCGGCACGGGAGAGGGTGTAATTTGCACTCTCCGTTAGCCTCCCCCTCGTCTATCTCCCTATGAGGCCTCGTTAGAGCGACCAGCTGCACTGAGTGCGGGGACCCACCTGCTGGAGAGGGTCTGTGGAGTCCCGGGGACGGTCGGATCCAGTGGAGTGTCGGGAGAGTACTGGGAGAAGGACACCTCGGGGTCTTCCCCCCTACGGCGGCTACTGAGGAGAAGTGGGGTTGCCTGGGAAACGATCGGGCAGCCTGGAACCAGGAGAGAGCCGGGAGAGGGACGCCTCGTGGCTTCATCTGGTGTCTGGCGTCTTGCGGCGGCGGCTTTGGAGGAGGAGCAGGGTTGCCAGGGAGACGTCAGTGAGACGGCCGGGACACTGGAGAGACGCCGACGCCGACACGTGGGAAGCCGCGGAGGAGCACTGGGAGCTCTGTAAATGAGAGTGATTGCCCGGCATCTCAGCAAGAGGGTGAAGTGGCTGAGTGTAAAGGATTTACTGCCCCCACAATATATATAACTTTTACATAAATATAACATCTCCCTGCCTCTTCCACCCATCCTAACTTCTCACCATCTCCATATCATCTCCATATCATATTCAATTTTTACAGCTTTACAATTATATATTACCATTCTCATTCTCATAATACGGCTAAACATCCTAACTCCCACACTACTCCTTTCGCTATTTAACTATTAACTTGCATATCAACTCTAATCTAAGGGGACTTGTGATGGGAGGATAAGCTATATGAGCTACGGGAGACCCCTAGGAATCCCTTCAAGATGAGGCAAGAGGATTTAAACACAGAGGAGGACTGTTTCTGAAGTGAGGTTCCAACGCGGTGGGTGAGTGATGACCGTGGGTTTTCCTGCAGGTCCTCTTTTACACTGCATATACTTTGGATTTGTATATTAGACTTTTACATATATTGAGTTCCTGCACTAGATTGCTAGGTGCCTGGAATAAGACAGTGCCTTAAATATTCAACCTGAAAATAAAAGAAATAGGGGATTCCTAGGACAGGTCTGAAGATTGGAGGAGTAAGAGAACAGGAGTTTCATGAAATAAGAGTTAAAACTCCAACAACATCATGAAAGGTAAAAATTTCAAAGGGAGCGGGCCTAAGAACACCCAAAGGAGTACGATTAAGAAGTATGAGTCACATGGACATGTTACCCCAGAAAGAACTCAGGGAATAAGTGAAAAAAGTGAATCGGAAATAAGTTTGGATAATAGCCCGAGACTTTCCCTGGGCCCAGTATACAATAGTCAAATGGAAGGTATGGAACCGAGAGAGTTGGAAAGAGATATGCAATTACCTAACAAAAAAGAAATGGCGGAGATGTTTAAAGGTTTGGAAAACTCAATAAAGCAAGAGATGGGGATGATCCGGGAAGATCTGGGACAATTGTTAACTAGGGTGGAGGAAATGGAGGAGAAGGTACAAGCCCAAGCTCAGACCATCCCAAAACTAGAGAAATGGATAATTGAAGATAGAAAAGAACATAAGAGATTGCTTTATAGGATGGAAGAACAAGAAAATAGAGAAAGGAGAAATAATATCAGAGTAAGAGGAGTTTCGGAATTGACACGGGGAGGATCTAAAAGAGCTATCTGGCAAAATCTTGAACTTCATAATGGATAAATCGGATGAGGAGACATTTAAACTGGATGAAGTATACAGGATTGGGAAGTATCAACAAGGAAATGGAGTAGAAAAACCAAGAGATATAATTGTTAAATTTCACAACTATGGAGATAGAGAAGAGATATGGAAAAAGATTAAAGGAAGATCAAATATTATATATGGAGGGAAAAATATTCAAATTTTTGCAGATTTGACAGCAGAAACTCTGAGAAGGAAGAGATCACTGAAACCCCTATTAGAAGTGATGAAAAAACAAGGAGTGAAATACAGATGGGGCCGTGACTTAAGTTTAATTGGGTGGAGGGATGGAACTACAGCTATCTTAAGATTCCCGGAGGATATGGAAGAATTCTGTGATAAATTTGGACTGCAGAGACAAGTGATACCTGGTTGGGAAGGGGAGGAGGGAGAGCTGGACATTTGTGGGTCAGGAAAGTGGCAGCTGGTTAAAAGAGGAATTAGAGAATCAACAGATAAGGGGACATCGGGGAGGAGGGGGGGAAGGTAAGCGGTCATGGGCAGAGTCGAACCCCTATAGAGGGATCAAAAGAGGAATATGATCCAAAGGCATAGGAGGCCTGGGGGGGGAGGTGGGAGGGAGGGGGGGGAGGAGATGGCAGGGGGGGAGGGTTAGGGGGGGGGGGGGGGTTGGGGGGAGGTGAGGGTGGGAGGGAAATGGATAATAAGGGTAATACTCTGCAGGATAGCGAGAGGTATAAAAAGCAAGCGTAAAGAGAAGGAGGATAGTTATGTGATCTCCAGTTAGAAGGGAAAAAAGAAGGCTATAAAAAGGATGGAAGATTTACAAGTTATCACTTATAATGTGAAGGGGTTGAACTGTCCTGGGAAGAGATTTAGGTTATTTAAGGAATTACATCATCAAGCAGTTTCGGTGTTGTTTTTGCAGGAGACACATCTCGAGATAGAATCTGGGGTGAAGCTGAAATCTAGAGATTACCCAACATGGTATTATGCAGATTCCCCGATTAAGAGAGCTAAAGGTGTGGCAATAGGGTTCAGAAAAAATATAAGATTTGAACTGAAAGACAGAAAAGTGGACCCAGAGGAGAGATATTTGTTTTTTTGAAGGGTAAAATACAAGAGGTGGAGTGTACAGTAGCTAATATTTATTGTCCAAATAAAAAACCAGAGGAGTACTTGAAGGGTGTGCTAAAAAAGTTGATGGATTTTAAAGAGGGTTGTATAATAGTGGCGGGAGATTTTAATTTTTGTATGGATCCACAAAATGATACAACTTCTAATGTGCAGCGAGAGGGGAGTAGATCTTTGAGACTATTAAAGAAGGTGATCCATGAATGCCAATTGGTAGATGCATGGAGAATCTTGCATATGAAAGATAGAGACTACACATTCTTCTCAGATGCACATCAGATGTATTCAAGGTTGGACTATGTATTGATAGAACACCACTTTATAGACTCAATGGTTAAAGCAGATATAGGAGTAATGACGTTTTCGGACCATGCCCCGGTCGTATTGAGGATGGGATGGGGAAAGAGGAGAACAAAAGGGGTAGGTTGAAGGCTGAATGAAGCACTTCTCATGGACAAGGATATTGCACAGAGGATTGGGAAGGAAATTGAGAGATTCTTTAGAGAGAATGAGACAGAGGATGTGTCTAAGGCAACAGTATGGGAGTCTCACAAGTCATATATAAGAGGAATTCTGATTGCAATAGGTGCAAGAAAAAAAAGAGAAAGAAGAGAAAAAATCAGTGGGCTTTTAAAGGATATATTGGAGTTAGAACAGATACATAAAAATAGAATGGTAAAAGAAATTAAGCAGAAGATAACAAAAAAGAAAGAGGAACTGGAAACTCTGATGGAAGAGGAGAGAAGGAGAGTGTATAACAAAGTATTAAGTGAAAATTATAAATGGGGAGATAGGCCAGGAAAATATCTAATGAGAACCTTAAGGAAAAAAAAAAATAGGAACTATATAGACAAAATAAAGAGCCCCAAGGGAGAATTGGTCCACTCAAATAAAGAGATTGCAAAGATGTTTGTGGATTATTATAGGAAGTTGTATAATATCATCCCATACAAGGAAATAAATAATATGGAAAAAAAAAAAAAGGAAAAAAAGGAAGATTTATTTAAAAAATGCGGGATTACCGAAAATAAAAGAGGACCAACTAAATTCCCTTGAAGCAGAGATCACACAAGAAGAGATAAAGGTAGTAGTAAAAAACATGGAGATGGGGAAGAGTCCAGGACCAGATGGGTATACAGCAGGGTACTATAAAAAATTTAGCGAAATATTAAATCCCAAATTGGAAAAATATATGAAACGCCCTGGGAGGAGAGATGGACATGAGGGGAGAATCTTTACAGGCTCATGTAGTACTGTTACATAAAGAAGGGAAAACTCCTCGCAATGTTCAAGTTATAGGCCCATTTCACTGTTGAATTTAGACACTAAGATATATGCAAAGGTCCTAGCGATTAGGTTGAAGGAGTATATG